GTTTTTTTGGGGGTTTTTTTGGCCACTGTATTTGCTACCTTACAATCCTGGCATTTCCTGGTGGCCAGCCATCGAAGTATGAACCAGGTGTCAGTCTTATTAGTTTTTAAAAGTCAGGCAGGTACTGCCTTGATACTAGGCAGTATGAATTTAGTTCATATTTTTGTCAAATGTCAAAATGTCATTTTGTTAATTGGGACATGTTTTGTGTAGGAGAGGGACAGGTTCTTACAGGCCCAGGGTCCCCAAAGCCCATTATTTTACAGTCCTAGATCTTAACCCAACGGGCTGCTAGATATTGATGCAGCGGTTGCTACAAATGCGCGGGACTCTATCCTGCCACCGGTCAGCAGGGAACACACAAATTCTGTAGCTGAATGACCTGTGTTGTGCAATCCAGTCTGCTTTGCACTATCACCCTGCCCACTGCAGCACTTGCTTTCACCCTCCCCATGAGATGGATGTGACTCCTCATAATTAAAAGAGTACTCACCGTTGGTTTAATATATGGTATATCCAAATTTGAATCTATTTGGAAAATTAGCTGTGTACCTTTTGAAAATATAAGCTTTCTGATACAGTTGCTAATTTAACATAGTAGAGCCATGGAAAATGGTTTGGTTTACTTACAATTTCAGAATGTCTATCTGCAAAGATAGCTTTTCAGTGGTTATTCAGAACTGCAGAATTTTGCAGTAGTGTTTGACTACTTGTCCACAGATGGAAAGATGAGAAGAGCTGTGTTTCATGTTCAAAGTTCCTGTTTCCAATTTCACTGTTATTTTCCTGTAAGTATAACTACCTAGCTAGTAGCTATACCTTTTTTGTTCCAGACTTACTATGCAGTCCAAGATACAAAGACCTTTCACAGCGAACAAGATATTGATCAACTACATGCTACCATTGAATGTGAGCAACCTCAGCCTGATCTTTATAAGTAAGAATATGTAATTTATTATCATCTTACTTATTCTGACTTCACTATATCACTTTAAGTATATCACTTAAGTTTATCACATTGAACTCCAAGTGTAGAGGTGCACATTTTGAGAAGATATCTGGAACTATGAAGATGGTTCCTAGTTCTTCTCTTCTCTTAGAGAGACCTGTGCCTCAGGTGATCAAGATAAAGCATACCATTGGTCACGATGCTTTTGTGTGAATATGTATTATGACAGATATAGGCAAGGTTGGATATCATACCTAGCTGGATGTATGGTTTAGCAGTTCTGGTTGGTACATGTTGCCTTCTCCTGCAAGTGGCATGGCTACAAGCTATCCTTGGCTTGGATAAGTAGATTCAGCGTTATGTTACAAACACAAAACATTGACTTTGACAGTCAGTCAGAGAAACCTAGAAAACAAATGGATTGATCTTTGTTTGCTAATGGCTCTTTACTGATGAGGTATGATAATGACACATTTCTCAATTATTGGTATGATATTTCATCTAAACATTCTTTTATTCCATTATATGATGACTGTTTTCTGTGTAGTCCTTTTCAGCCAAGTTAATAGTTTAGGGTTAGGACTGAGCAGCTTCAGTTTCTGCCAACTCTTCTTTCATTCCTCCCTGGGTCATCCCAACTGGGATGCTAACTTGAAAAAACCAAGGATAGAGTTACATATCACTTGACTTCTAACTCTACACCAACATTTATTCCTCAGCTGTAATACAGGCCTAGAATTTAGAGCTATCGTGTTCTGTATATATTCTAACCCATTAATGATACCCACGTTGCATTTTGATCATTTTAAATGTTATCATACACAATCAAATTATGTGGAGATGCCTTACTTAAAACCAAATTAAGGTGTGATCCTGGGACATATTTATGTGAAAATCTGAAAAGTGACATGAACATAGAAATGTATATAGAGAAATGAGAGAAATGTATATAGGACTTAGTTATTTGTGGATTGTGCCACTTTGTTCCAGCTAAATCATTTTAATGCCAGTTCCCCAGGGTTTATTAGGTTGCACATTGATGCAATTTTGGAATAGAAACAGAGATCACCTAACACAATAAGCATGACTTCCATGTTAGTAATTTTAGGCACCATTCACTGCATAGGTTCCTGGCCGTTAGCTTTCAGTCTCCCAGTGTTCTCTGCAAAAGCCTCAGAAGCTCTGACTTCTTGCTATCCAAAGTGCATTCAAATCATTAAGAAAGTAAGATCAAATTGAGCTTAGTTCCTGCTGAGTTAGACAAGCATATCCATGCAGTTCTCTTGGTGTGATGCAGAAGTTACTTGCCATTCATTTTTCTGGGATTTCTTTTTTTTAAAAAATGTCTTCGTCCTAGACTTCTCAAATGGCTTCCCATCCGGGGAAACCATGGTCAACTCCACCTAGCTTTTTGGGTCAGCCAAGGTCAGTTAGCTGCTGCTGTCAACCCGGGGAATTCAAATAATTACTGTTAAAGAAAAAGCAGAAGCCTTGTGTGTGTGATTTCAAGGAGCATTCTGCCCTAAATAACTAAAGTGAAAGAACTGGATAGAGTAGAAAATGACAACTGCTAGCCAGCAGCGTCTGCCAGAGGAGGCCAAAATCAGCAAGATGTTAGGTGTGATGTCACAATCTAAGACTTGCCGTTTTTGTCCTTTTGTCCAAAAGAGGTGGGGCATGGATCTCCCTGCGTTGCCCACTCTCTTGTCAGTTTTGACCCTCTCCTGCAGATACCCCTGCTGCTAGCAGATTTACTGCAAAACCTTTGAGTTCCAGGTAGTTTGTGGGAATACCATAACGAAAGAGTGGGTGGACATCCCAAAAGGAAGCTGAAAAAAGGAGTAAAGGAAAATGGGAATCAGTGCAATAACAGGAAGCAGAAGTGAAACTGAGGGATTCAAATGGACTGCAAGAAAAGGGAGTCTCTCTATTTTCCTTCTTCCTTCATTTCTTACAATACTGCTTCTCTTAGGTCAGATCCTAGCTACCTAGCATTAACCCAAGGCTTGAGATACAACAGAGCAGAACTGTGGATGGGGCAGCTGTAGAAGCTTGTGGTGTTTGAAAAAAGAGAGCATGCTATAGTCAACAGCGTTCGTTTAAAAGAAAAAAGTTGATTTTTTAACTAGAAGGAGGGGCTACCTATCCTGGATATAAAGAAAAAAGAAATAAGACTGAATGGCAGATATATTACCTCAAATGGCAGAAATGTAGCCATATGGAAAGGAAGTGTTATATTGTCAATTACTGTGTTGAAATTTTATTTATTCATTTATCTATCTATATATCGATACGGTATATATAGCCGTCCATCTCACAGAGCATGACTGGGTGGCATACAATTAAAAAAATAATTAAAAATTCATAAAAAACTAACAAAAATATTCTCCAATTAAGAACACCAATCAGGATTGCTAGTAACAGATGAAAAATAGGTTTTTCATCATGATATTGCCACGTATAGAATGAGAAAATAGGAATATTCTAAACAAATAAAAATGAACCCCTACCTGTAGGTCTATAATTTATTGAAGTAAAGCAGAGGAAGGGAACTTTGAAGAAAATTAAAATGTTTTGTTGGAGATAGCTAAGGATACAAGCTTTGGAAAGTAGCAGAAAGAACGCCATTGCTTTTGATGGATCATGATGCATTTTTCTACAGGCAGCAGGGGAAGCTCTTTGTATGACCATCTGTACAATTACTAGAATGCGCGTTTCTACTTTCCCACAGCCACACTGATGCTCAGCTTTTCCCTAACTTGGTTTCTTTTTTGCTTTCAGATTTGTTGGCCGGATAAATATTTACCATGAGAGAAACGAGCCAGTTGCAAGGTGAGATTTCAAATACAAATCTGCACATGTTGCCTAGGTAATTCATGCCAGTTTTATCATCAGTTTTTTCACCCTAGTATTAATCAGTAGAAAAAATAACGTTTAATCAGGCATGCACATTTAAATAAATAAATAAGCCTTTACCCAGAGACAGGTTCTCTTGAGTTAAATGCCACTTCTATCATATAACTGGATATTGGATTGCAGTTAGGCAGCTCCGTGCTAACTGGCTGGGGGCCGGATGAGCTGTCAGCTAGCTGAAGTTGGGCTACGTTTCCTTAATCTTTGTAATTTCTGGATGAATATAGCTCAAGGGGAGGTGGAAACCAGGAAGTTGTTTTCTCAGAGCTCCCAATGAATTCACTTTGTTTGTTGCAAAATAATGAAGTGTGGGCTTGTTCCTAATATGGAAGGAGTCTGGACGTGACACAACTTCATATAACCCATGACCTTTTCCTTTGCCATTCCTTTTCCAGCTCCTGTTTTGGGATATTTGGCCCTGTAATAGATCAGCCCTGTTAGCAAATCTTTCAGTACTCTGACATATCTCTGGGATACACCAGCAAAAGCAGATTATGACTCATTGTAACTCCTCCTAGCAAGGATTTCTTTGAATTAGACTTGTACTGTTCATTGCTTTGATCTATTAGGTTTGAATGGTTACAGGTTCAACTTCAGATAGAGTAAACAATTTTTTCTTCTTTACAATTTACTTTTATGTTTAGCATGCTTTAATTGTATTCAGATTTTTGATCCATAGTTAAGATGTACTAATGTTTTTGAAGTATATATGCACTGTTTGCTATCTGTGATCATGCAAACGTAATTCAGGTAAATATTAATTAGTAATATATGTGTGTGCATATTTATGAAATTAAAAATAGAGAATGTACTGCATACAGTTAAAATGTCTGCATCACTGACTCAAGCCACAAACTGCTAAATACCTAATTTTCTAAATCAAATAACTTATCTTGTATGATACGAAGCACAGTGTAATTAAAATGGCATTTTCCCATTAATTCCAATAGGACTGATTAACGAATAAGCAGCATTGAATTCTATAGCAGTTTAGAAAATGCATGTAGAATAATCTGAAGATTTTTGGAATGGTACTCTAATTCTCAGTTTATATTTCGGGAATATATGCACAACAATTTTTAAAGTTTACCTAATGTATTTTGGATTAGGAACTTAGCTTTAATTTTTTATATATTAAATTTGTATTTATGAATTGTCATATTCATGTTACCTTGTTTGTTCTACATTTCATTTGATCCTGAAATGCTTGGTTTGTTTCCTTGATAAAATTAATTTTTATTAATTTTTACTTTGCAGGCCACTGGGATCGGAAAATGTCCTTCTTAGAGGAGCTACATTAAAGAACACAGAGAAAATCTTTGGTAAACTTTGCATATTAAGACGCTGACTTTCAACAGCATCTTTTAATGTAGTACGAATTATCTTTTCTTCAAAAACAAAGTAAAAGAGACCGACAAATAGAGCTATTTTGAGTTGAAAGCAGGGTTGTCAATATGAAACCAAATTATTCTTGAAATGCTAAATTATTCAGTAGTCTGGGTGGGGTGTGAAGGTGGTTCTATTTTTTGTCAGTTTCCATTTTCTATTATTTGCAATTTTCATGAAGTATTTTATTCTTGTGTGGTATCTACAAGAATGGATCACACATAATGATAGCATGACATTATGAAAACCCTGGGTTTCTACCATGATCTCTTGCTGTGCCTGGCAGTCTATGCACAGAGACCATCTTTGGCCTCTGCCAGGCTCCGTTGCCTACTTAATTTTATTTGTTAAACTGTCATTATAAATACTTCAATGCTGCAGAGCTCCAGGCTGTAGCTCTATCTTGTTTTCAAGATATAGGCATAGTAGGCATTCTTAGAAAATAAAAATGGCGAATGCTGTTCCATCAGCCCAGAAAAATGGCCAAGAATGACAAAATGGTAGTCTGTACCTTGTGGCTTGTCTGCAGGTAAATTTGTGGAAATTGGCCTTGCCATCCATAGCAGCCCTTTTGTGAGAATGTCTGTGACCTCACAAAATATCAGACATGTCTACTGGCCCAAAAAGGCTGGAATTCCTTTGGTTGACCAATCAGATTTGGATACATGATAGTGTCACTGAACAGAATAAAGGCAATGTTTTGTTTTCCTCATCCTAAAAGATAGACTGTTTTTTACCCTTCTAGTAAGTAAATAAGTTCATTGTTTTAACCACAGGTCATAAATATGAGCCCTTCTAGATCAGGATTGCAAAAGTAGGGTGGCTTTTTTTAGTGAAACAATAACAAATTAGAATAGCACAACCACCCCATTTTGGTTCAGTATCTATTACTGAATGTACACGGCCATTATTCAATTTATTAGTCAAATCCATAATGGTAATCCTTTCTTCTTCATAATCCCATGTTTTTTTATTTCTGGTTTTTTTTGTTTCTTTCAGGCGTTGCAATATATACTGGCATGGAAACAAAAATGGCACTGAATTACCAATCAAAATCACAGAAACGATCAGCTGTAGAAAAGTAAAGCACCATCAACTGTTCTAATATCTGTGGTGTATGATGGATGAAATGAGTAGGAAAAAGAAAGTATTTATCTGATGAGTAGGGAAAAAAATCTAATAATTTGTGTATCTTTTATTGTAAATAATTACTTGCGTAATGAAGGGTTTTTTGGCATTAGTTTTTCTTAATGTTTTCTTAAAGTTTATTATTAGGAATTTGGATACAGTTTTCAGTTTGTTACAGTTCTAAGCTTTCTAGTTTTGCCAAGATTTTGATGCCGGGCCCTCCTTTATCTCATGCCACTCAGCATCGTTGAGAGTCAGGGGACAAACAAGTTTAATAAATTATTATTATTACCTTCATATTTTAAAGCACACATTCACACATACACACACACACGTACACAGACACATTTTAATATTTTATGCTTGGTTGCAGGCAACCACAGTTATTTATTAATCTGTATTTAAAGAAAAGAGCACAATTCTTTTTCATGGCATTTGTAAATTTCTTTCTTGATTATACTCCTACACCATCTATTTCAGTCAAAATTTAGCTATTTTACCAATAGCTAGACGAGCCCAGTGAGGTTCTGACCCTTGGGTAAAAGAGCTATGAATCTCTACAGTATGTCTCAAAAAATTCTTCAAATGCTTCCTAACACATCTCAAAATGAAAATGGGGTGGAAGGAATGCTCTGTAGGCTCTGCATAAGTTTGTTGGTTTGTTTTAACCTAGCTTGTGTTGAGGCTTTGGGATATACACATCTTTAGGACATGGTGATCGAATGACTGAACTATCCTGGAAAACATCAGTTCAAGTCACCTTTCAGGTTTAACATACATTAGCTGTACAATTAGTTACTTTTAATCTCTTTTCCTCTGTATGAGAATAGAAGAAGATGACCCTTTGAGGAATTATGGGATATGAATATGATCAATGTATTTGGAAATGCCCTTCTATCATATATCAATACTGTGCAGTACTCCTTGTGCATGGATGTAGACAGGCAGTGCTCTCTTTTGTCACATATCAAATTATATCATTGAGAGAGTCTGTGTGTTGAACTACTGAGTTAAAACAATATAAAATCTCTAACAATATATAATAATAGACATTCTTTAGTCTGACTTTCCCATTCTGAAATGGTACTAGATTGTCTGTAAAAATGTCATACGTATATAATGAAAAAGCTTAGATTAACTTAAAATCTAAAATGAATAAAGTTACGTTGTAAAACGAATACATTTCCCTAATAATATTTTCTTTCATCTGTTTCAGATCAATGAATGCTTTTCTTATTGTATACCTTTGTATTCTAATTAGTAAATCACTAATAAATACCACCCTGAAATATGTTTGGCAAATTGAGCAATATCGCGATGAGCCTTGGTATAATAAAAAAACAGAATCAGAAAGGAAAAGAAATGTGGTATGTGAATTACTTCATTCATACTGAGATATAATAATGTACTTAACTTTTAGATGATTTCTGCCCTTCCGTATGTTGAACAAATACAGTCGCTTCAACACAGCTGTTGGCTTCATCCTGTAAGCTGTTGGAAGAATTTTTGCACATTTGTGTGGCCCTCCACAAATGTCACACTGCCGTACTCTGAGCCAGCCAGTGGCCTCTCCAGCTGGCCAAGGGGGCAATCCTAAAAATGGCAGCTATCTGGCATTCTCCCTCCACCTTTCTTGATGCCCTCTCCTGAAGAAGCATAATGCCATTAAGCATTAAGAGTATCAGAAAGACCATAGGAACTTCTGATATTAATCAGTTCAGGATGCAAAAGCCATCAGTATCATGGAACATGCAAGGATAGGCCACTAACAAAGCAGCCCAACCATTGCATATAAAAGGTTCCTACACATGGCAAACAATATTATATCTTTCTGCCTCTACAATTCTGCCAGTCCAGCAGAGGAATTTAAATAAAATAGCATTTTGTCTAGTTATATCCAGCGTTATGCTAGCAAAGGTGTCAGCCTTGTGAGGTAGTCCAGACAAAGCAGATCCAGGAGTACTAGCTCTATCTTTATTGTAAGGTTACATTAACAGAATCTTGCAAGTCTGAAAGTACATCTCTCCCCCCCTTCCCCTTACAGTCCAGGAAACTAGGGAGGGTCCCTTCTGAGACATTTACCATGCTCCCATTCCTTCTGTGGGCTCAGCTGCCTTTTATCTGACTGTTGCCTAGTCTGTAGCTCTTCCTTCTGTCTCTCAAGGTCATTCCCACAGACCATTACATAAGGTGATGGAATACAACTAGCACAAACACTAGCTATACAATTAGCATAACTTCAAGTGAAGTAAGGTTATTCTGATTTTTAAAAGCACTTGCACAAATGAATCAATGAAATACTTGTACAAGAATTAAAATATGGTTTCTACAGATGGCGTAAACCTGGATAGAAAAAAAGATACTGTTGGGAACAAACTTGTGGGTATCTCTTGCTGAATGGAGATGATGTTACTTAAAAATAGCATTGACCCAGTTCAGGTATTACAACCTGATCAACAAGTCACACAAATGAACCAGTTGTTGGCACTTCATTAAGCAACCCACAAACATGGGTTCGAAATCAGGAGGTTTTCTAACCTGGATAATAGAGAACCTTAAACATGGCAGACGGATTTATGAAACTGAGTATTTTTGCAATTGGAAACAAGAAGAGGGAAAGGGTGGTGAAGAGTGCCATGTTACCTGTTGTGGACCAATAAATATGTTTATTGGGGTAGCCCATTAATCCAAGTCTTGGTCTCTCAGCAGTTTTCACTAATTTCCTTTCTCGCATATTAATTATAGAAATCAAAATATATTTTCTCTTACTAAAAAGCAATAATAAAATATTGTCTAAGAGCACAATTATATACAAGTTTAAAAAGAAGTAAATTCAACTGCAGCAGCTTTTCTCAGGTGAACATGTGTAATAGTGTGCTCTAGCGTAAACTAGCTTATATTGATACTTTTATTTTTGTCTTTCTCTTGACAGTTTATCACAGCATTTACAGATTTTCTGTCTTTCATGGTCCTTTTCAACTACATCATTCCTGTATCTATGTATGTCACAGTAGAAATGCAGAAATTTCTTGGTTCTTATTTTCTTACTTGGGATGAAGAAATGTTTGATGAAGAAACAGGTGAAGGGCCACTCGTGAATACCTCTGATCTCAATGAAGAGTTAGGGCAGGTAACTGTCATACCGAAGGAACTATAAAAATATAACAGCTGTCTTTGGAAAGACTAATATTTCAATTTTCCTGGAGTTATTTTTTATTAGAATGCATAATCATTGGTCTGATTTAGAGGATATACAGACTTTCTTACTGATCAGAATTTCTCATAAATCACAGTTGGCTTTAGGTATTTGGTATAAAAGTATGATCAGTAGTTTCAAGTATCCTGTCACTATGTATAAAAAAAGAAGGAAAAAGCTGTGCCTAAGTGCACAATGCATCTTTGCTCAACTCACAACACTAAACATGGTTTGGCAAAGGGTCAGAAAATGTATGACTCTGAATAGTGTCTCTCAACAACTCCAGCAAGAATGCCCAATGACAAAAGTTGCTGGAGAACCACAGGTCATAATTCTCTATTTTGCTGGCTGGGGAATTCTGGGAGTTGAAGTCCACATATCTTAAAGTTGCTAAGGTTGAGAAGCACTGCTTTAGATTATTATTTAAATAATAGTGCAAAAATCATGCAGTATTATGCTGATATATCACAATCTAAGACACATAGTGCCTCTTGCACTGAAAACCTGCTTACCATTTGAAACTCGTACAGATAATTTTTCTGAACCAGGGTAATAAAAATATTATTTTAAACAAAATAATAAAATCACTTTCTCCTCTGTATTGCATTCATTTGCATTAAAGTAGAATGCCTCCTTGAAAAGACTGCAAGTTCTCTAAAGACCAAATGACCCAATTTCAAAAGTCACACCTCATAATTTCAGTTATCAGAAGAGCTTCCCTGATTCCTTAAAATCTGACCATGTAATGTTAATCCTTGTTTTACTATCTGTCTCTTTTCAGGTTGAATATGTCTTCACAGATAAAACAGGGACGTTAACTGAGAACAATATGGAATTCATAGAGTGCTGCATTGAGGGACATGTGTATGTACCCCATGTCATCTGTAACGGGCAAATTCTCCATGACTGTGGTGGAATTGACATGATTGATTCTTCCCCAGGAGGAAGTGGAAAAGTATGAACAGTTTTGTTTTGTTTTTTTAAAGCTGATCCAACATATTAAAAAATCAGGCTTGACATCTTGATTTTCTGGACATGTTTATGTAGTTTTGTTGGCTACCATATGCTCTTGCCTTCCCAGTCTAGCTTACTGCCTTGCTCCATTATTAACAACACTTGAATCATTTAGTGGAAGTAGCTTTTTGTCGGATGGGCATTGTGCTTTAAAAATGTTAAATGCTTTTTTTAAGATGTTCCTATTTGACAGTCATGCCAAAACCACTACTTAAAATCTTTACAGAGAATAATCAAGAATTCTCTGGATGTCAGACAATAAGTGAAGAAAGTATCACTTGAACTTAAACTAAATTGGAGCAACTTAGGCCATGGGCTGCAGCTCAGTATGCTGAATCCAAGGATTGCAATCTTGATGCATCCCTAGTTTGATAAGACAGAAAAAAAGATGAATCTAGGGGATTTAATAGGGATAGCAAGAGCTTGGGAGTGCCCTAGTCACGATTTTTAATCATGTTTAAATTTAAATGTACCCATTTTTATTTTATTTGATGATCACTACACTGATCATTCATTGGTGCAAAGGTAGAATTAATTGCCCTACAATGACTTTGGAGGGTGGACACAATGTTTGCACTTATCATTGTGAAAGAGGCTTACACTGACACATTGACTTTTGTAAGGCACAGGTGTGTTGGCTTCTTTCTCAGAGAAGTTTTCATCAAACCAAACCAACCCCCCCCTCTCTCTGAGAGCTCAAAACAGTACAGATAATCTCACCAGCTGGACTTAATAAAGTGGTAAAAAGTCCTGAATGCAAGTTGTATACTGATCCCGAAATATCATTTTATTACTGATTCAGCATCACAGACTCTCACTCTCATTAGTCTAACAATGGCCCTAAGTGAGCAAGGGAATGGGTATATAGAGAATAATAAGAAAAAAATAGCAATCACACAGGATTTCTTTTGAGCAGCTCAGTCCCCTATAGCTGCACTGCAGCCCAGAAACGGAGTGACTAAACACTTTCTGATGAACAGATCAAGAACACTAGTTCTTCAAATACATTGAACTGTTTTATTTATTTTAGAGATTTTTCTTTAACTGCACTTACAAAGATGGAAAGTCTCCCCTTCCCTTCCTGTCTGCAGCATCTTCTCTTGTGTTCCATTCCACTTTGTTCAGAAGGCCACCCTGACCTTATGGACGAGCTTTAGCAATCAGAGGTGTTGGCGGAAGGAGGGAGAGAGGAATAAAACTTTCCTTCCATCAACTTCCTTAAATTTATCGTGGGATCAATGCTAATATTGCATCCACTTCAGGCCCATCAATCTAATAAATTTAAATGCCCTATATCATTTCTATCAGGTTATAACCTGATACATGCTAGTGCTTTTCATAGAAGTTCTTCCTTTTTAATTTATTAGGACCGAGAAGAGCTCTTTTTCCGAGCTATATGTCTTTGTCATACAATTCAAGTGAAGGAAGATGATATGGTGGATGGAGTAAAGAAAGCTCAGCTTTCAGGAAGATCTTCAGTGTATATTTCATCATCCCCTGATGAAGTTGCTTTAGTTGAAGGGATTCAGAGGTATGTGTCAAGCTAATACAGTTGTCTCTAAAGTTATGCAAGAGGACATGTCTGTTCCATTTCATAATATCACCCCTGGAGGACAATGCTATTGGTGAAAATATGCCTGTGATTGACTGAGAAAAATACAGATCTTAGAAAAACAAAAGTAGGCCTACGTGTCTATGAGATGTTACTTTGGAATCAGAGCCTATAAATAGCTCTAGGTTTGTCTTAATTTCTGCTGAAAAATAAATGTTTCTTCTGTTTTTAAAAGCCCCATTATTGTAATTTGGGTGAATCTTTCTGGCTCAGAGGTTATAATGGTTTTATGGATTAATGATTTCTGAAAGTAGGGTTGTTCACTGCAGAAAAGCATTGATGGGTGGATAAAATACAGGCTCAAAACAGGATAGAATTTCACTATAAAATCTAATGTGAAAAAAGTCACCAGCACAGTATGTGTGTGAGAGATGAGAACAAACAGCAGCTAGCACTGAGCTGCAAAACATCCATTTTATTATTAAAAATATGCTTTTCTCTCCTATTTATTTATTGATACTTACTTATATTTACTATATTTACTTATATTTACTATATTCATTTATTTAGAACTTTGGAAAAGGGGGAAATGGTGAAAATCTGTTTTGAGACCTCTTTGAAAGAGAACATGAAGCAGGGAATATCTGCATTCACATCTTTTGGAAAGAATAGTTCACTCTCAACATATATTTATTTATTTATTAAATTTATCCCCACCCATCTCCCCCTAATGGGGGACTCTGGGTGGCTTACAACTCAT